GTATATTCTATGTAAATATTGAATTACGTATGAAGTTTTCATAGGGATAATTAATGTATACAAATCAAAACTCATTTAACCATTATATCGATCTGAAGGTTATTCGCATAGCAAACAGATCTCATTTAGAGATAAGTTTTTTAAAAACAAAAAAAGGGACCATTTAGATTAACCAATGATTGAACAACATATTTTCCTAGTTTATCTGAGTTATAGTAATACACCAATCGATGAACGATGATAACAAAGTATTGAATGAAATTCATTTTGTATTGTTTGTTTGAATCTTCCCATTGATGTTTAGGACTGTAACTGGTCAGTCTCTAATTGGCACATGTGCATACTGTGCGTATTGCCTCGATATAGCCTTAATTCACAAGCATTGTAAGCAAAGATGGATGATGGCTAACAGTGGAATCCAGTTTGACGCACGTTTCATCCTATTTGGGACTCGTCAGCTGGATGTACCTGCATCTCAGAGTTGATGTTCACTCTGGGCCTCGAACCCAGTACCTTCCGCTTCAAACGCCATCGCGTTATCCACTCGGCCACTGAATGATTTACCCATTTCATACCCATACATGATATATCATTGTGAAAATAATCACTGAAAGAGTGTGATATAATGAATTCATGTTAGTTTGTGAATCACCATTATTCACCTATTGAAACTGAATTATGTACATGTGTACTTTGAAGAGCAACATGTAAAACACTACTTAAGGGTTACACTGACTGTAATGTTTAGTGCTGTTATGCAACTACCAACTGGCGTCAGACACACTGACGTGGAGTCATTCATTCCGACTCTCGTTTTACACAGTGAATTGACAAAAGCCCGTTAATACTTGTCAGAAGTTAATATTTTTAATAACCAGTTTTGCATCTTATTAATAATTACTCATGTAGAAAAATTTGGGGAACAATTTTCGTATGCTTACTTGACTGGATAATTGTTCTAGATTTGAGTAAACAGGTTTATTATTATAAGCACAGATGGATGGTAGACAAAAGTGAAATTCAGGACGCGCTTTTCCTCTTATCTAAGACTCGTCAGTTGGATGTATCTTCATCTCAGAGTTGATCCCACTACAAGTCACCATCCATCTTTGCTTATAATGCATATGACTCAAGGTAATATCGAAACAAGCCGCACAAGATGCACATATACCAACAACAGATTGACCAATCGAGTATATCGATAACTGGTAAAAAGAGTTGAAATTACACAAAATATTTTAACGTATTTTGTTGTTGTTGGATAGTAGAAGGCATTTAGTACAAGGTAATGGATCTAGGTTTCATGAGAGCCTAAACTTATTATCTAATTAAATATGTATTTCAGATCGATTGGATTAAATATATCAACCCGAATACCTTGATGGTGGCTCTGTTGAAACGACAATGATGGCATTTGTCCGAAACCTACTTAGAGAATCACTTCCCCCTAGGATAAAAAAAGACAGCTGGCGAATGTGAAACATCACGAAAAATAGCTGTAGTACTCCATACCAATCACCTACTTCCGCTGGACAACACACACATTATGTCTTTCCATCAGACAAAAAAATCTCTTAAAAGACATTTTGAATTAGTTGGGAAATTTTTACATTTGCCTAGAAATCATTGACCAATTGGAACAAAAGACTAGAGTTTGGAGGTAATGTTGTCAGTGAAGTAGTGATAATGAAGATTAGTAAAAGTATTCAGAAGACGTTCACTGTATCCATGTAGTACACCCAACATTTGTAACTGCAACAAAATACTTTTGCTATTTAACTGAATAAGGCTGATACGGTTTGATGTAAGGAAAAAATGTAACACTACAAACGAAGATTTCATTGTACACTAATAATAAGTTCACAATTGATTCAACTATTAATCGGAAACTATATTAAAATTACCCTGAGTTATACATCATTAATTTATCAGATCATTTCATTTATTTGTGTAAACAACACCCCCATCACGAGAAGGCAGTGAGTAGGACTTCCCTGGTAGAGGCTATATACGCGTGGCCATGTGAAAGCATTTCGAGAGGGAGAGCGGACTCTCCCCACTCTCGGCCGTACCAGGGCATTTGGGGGAGGGGGGCTAAGCCTAGTGTCAGGAGCCAAATTATCACTGACTAATAAATTTCCTTGGTTGGTTTAACCATTTTCATATATACATATTAATGTTTCTGCATATTAAAGGTTGATGAAAATCTAATTGAAAACAATATGTTTTCTTATATGTTGTTTGGATTCTAAAGGATTGAACTGGAAGTCGTGAACGTAAACCAATTAATAATTTAATGCGTGTGTACAATTTACAACATTACCTGACTAAGCAGCCTTAACTAACAATTATAGCTAAATTATTGGGTAATATAACTGCTCCTTGCAAACACCTACTTCATGATCATTCAGTTTGAACAGCTAGAAGTAGAGACAACTTCAGTAATTTCTACCTTTTACATGTAAATCCACCAGTTTAGCTGATCCAGAGTTGCTACGAGCATCAGTAACAAAATCCGTACAATCAATCTTCCAAGTTGCGAACTCCTTGCTTTGCGTATAGAGAAAAGATAATTAAGTAAATTTAATTTACTATTTGACAGACACAATATACATGTAACCCAAGTAAAGCTTTTTGAGTTATTTAAAAGAGACCATGTATTTCGCTGTACGGTTTCTATATATGTATACTGAATCTATTTTAGCAAGCTAAATCTTTGAGTTCAACAGAAATTTCACCATAAGTCTTTACGATCTCCGCCAAGAATATTGATTAATCTTTCATCTAGCACCTCATTCAATAAACTGGATATAGTTAATATAAACTTGTCATTCGCTTCAATTTTCAGCTATTACTCCTATTTTTCAACGTAACTGTTGATAACACTATCATCTTTCGTAATCTGCCTGATTGTAAAATGGTGAGCAACTGATTTATTAAAGAATACTTCTGAACAACTTAACTATGCTGTTTACCTTTATCTTGGATTCATTTCCTTCACTATTAATTTTATAAATAACTATGAATTCTTAATACTGTTGTGTATTGATTTCAGGTGGTTGGAGATAGACGGTTCAGTGTTAGTCTGTAGAGTATATATGTAATCTTAGAGGAATTGGTTTTCCCTAACGGATATGAATGTGGATCACCTAGTTTAACAGCCCAAAGTGTTAACACTAATCCATCAGGGCGGTGAGTGGTTTCCTGTAGAACTGAGACCACATGTACCGCTATGTAATTTATTCCGTAATTTGAATTATACTGAATTCACTAGAATGGTAAAATGTATAAGCTACGCTCACGTCATTATAATTAACAAGTTGGAAAAAGATAATTATTCATATACAATTCTATTGTTTTAAGTTTCTGAATCGACATTAAAAGAACTTTGTTTAATTCGTCTTTCATGACAAAAATATAAATAACCCATATTTATGAATAGATTAATTTTGAGTGAGCAATAACAATGACTCGTTGGTTTACCAAAAAATTGTTGTTACTACTCAAATGTCAATAAGTAAGTAGTCCTTACTCTTGAATATAAACATATCGCGTAATTTTACTGTTACTCATAAATATTCTAGTCTTGCTGAAACAGACTTTGAAAAACAAATTATTTGTGATTGGAATCTATCTTTTGCAGAAAATAAATCTTGATGGAGTTTTGTTCGCTGAGCTGGATGGTTTGGTCTTGGAGCTTTCATCGTCCTTCTGAACGACATACTCAACATAGAAACATAGGAACAAAAATCAAACCAATAGGAGATACAATCAAAACAAAGGAATAAACAATGATAGATTTAAGGTCAATAAGAACCAATCAACATCAAGGTACACAGGACAAGCTGTGAATGACATGTGGAGAAATTCAAACACTTCACTTCTACCCGAAATTTGTGCTGATGGTGTCGTTCCGAAGGACGATGAAAGCTCCACGACCAAACTATCCAGCTCAGAGAACAAAAAAACATTAAAATCACCCACCTGAGCTACAAATCTTCTCCACCATTTCAGAAAATAAATCGTTTTGAAAAAAAAACTGTAGTAAGACTTAGCTCAAGAAAATATTACTATTTAATCCTAGAATAAAATTATGAGTTTATATATATATCATATGGAACTACTGAATTAGATTGCTTGTGGTTAACATTTATTAGGTGACAGTTTACAAAGTCTTCTGAAATGAGTTATATTTTAAAACGTTTGCTTAACAATAGTTGAATGAGTCACACTGTACAAAAGAGAGACAGTAGGGATATTAGTAGAGAGGTGTTGCAGACACATAAGTTTAAAGTTAGATATCACGGGTTGTCACTAGTAGGCGAATCAATGTAAATCAGATAGAGAGCTCTTAACTGCTGTTTATCCTATTTTGATACCAAGTACAAGTGTGAGACATTCATTCAAAGAGAAATCGATCTGAGAACCTTCGAATACTCATGAGAAACAATCCAAATTATCTTTATTTCTAAATCTAGTGAATTATCAAACTAAGAAAACATAATCAACTGTCATCTTAGATAACTATTTCGCGCCTGATCATGGGTAAATGCTCTCGTCTACTGCTTTTCACTTGAGACCTAAAGTAAACCTGATCACTGGAAGACCTGAAAATCTTAGTTTTGATTACAAAAAAACAAAATTATGAATGGGAACTGTTGCTTGGTGTTAACCTAGGATTGAAGCAGGAGGTTCCTGTTCCAAGGTTTTCAGTCGATGTCAATTCATGATGTGAACCAATACGAAACTTTTATTAAAACTATTTATCTACTTATTCTATCAACAGATCATTGAAATTTTAGAATAGATCAGAGGAGGTTTTGTGGAGAACTTAGTATTTTCATAGTTGAAATCATGAGTCAATTGAAGCTAGACCACCATCGAAAATCTGGCCGTCCAGTACTTCCAGGTTTTCGATGGTGATCTAGCTTCAATTGACTCATGATTTCAACTATGAAAATTTTAGAATAAACATTATTTGTTATTGAAAAAAAACTTACTAGTCGTTGTTGTAACCATTGAATTCAATTCCATTGAATCACTATTTTCATTCATTGTGGGATCAAGCCAATATATACATGAATATTCAGTAAGACGATTAGCACAATAAGTCAGTAGATCTTTTTCAAAATAACCAATTGTTAAAAATTGAAATAAACTCATATTCAATGTTAAAGGTTTAATAATTTGTGGACCATCTTGTGCTATATTGATACCACCAGCTTTTATTCGTGCACTACCTCTGACCATTTTTTTTCTAATCTTGGATACAATGAATAATTAGATGATGTAAAATGAGAAAAAAGAATTTTTCTAATTTAATTTTTATATGTCCATTCGAAATTGTTGAAAATAGTTTTCATTCGGTGGTTAGAGTACTTATATAATCTTCAAATTAAAATTTGATTGGTTAATAATTTTTTAAAGGGGGGGGAGATTAGACAGACAAACACACGCATTAAAACACATACAAAATATAATACCTAATCTTTTTTGCATGTATGTGTGTGTTTGTTTTCTATGTTGCTTTGATTTTTAGCTGACCAATTAGAATGTTCTATTAGCAATGAGATATCAATCAAGTTTCAATCGCAATCTACTCACATGTTAAATTATCATATTTGTCATTTCTTAGTGAAGACGTAAGTACGGGTAACTTCCGGGATCTATTAATGGACTATTATTCTTACTGTTTAACTATTAAGTAATTAGATTGTGTATATCTATACTCATCTCATTACAAGCTTCATTTTGACTTATGGATTATTATTATACGATTTACTGTCGCTAAATTATATTCAGTTTATTGATTACTGTCTCCCATGTTCACAGCCACATTCGGCTTGATCTTGTACAAATATTATTTCCTATTTTATGGTGTGATGCCATCTCTCTGTCTGGTATATAAACTGAGTATACTTGAAATAAATGATTTGCATAGCAGAAACTGTAATTGGTGTTCTGGACTCAATTGGAAGGGCTAGGTGGACAAGGGATCAATAAGGACGCTAGACTGCTCACACCAGTTGAACGGCATTGATTTGACACTGTTAAAATTATACTAGTCGTAATCCGATTGGCGGATAACCCACGTGACAAAAGCCGGACATAAAATCATAACGAATTGGCGTACGCCCCTTTCTTGATTCATAACAATAATATAAAAAGATGAGTTAAAAATGATCTCGGTTGAAAATAAAATGTGTATGTTTCACAACACTAAGTTTTAGTTTACACATACTACTGATTGTTGTTGCCTTACCACAGGCGAAGGAAAGAGTTAGAAGAGGATAGATTTTAAAAAATAGCAGTAAGGTCTGAAAAATATGAAATTAACATATCTAGAACTACCGACAGAACCACCCAGTGTGACCGGCCTACAATAGAAAATCTGAAAGATGGAGAAACATGTCGTTGACTTCCTATTGTTTTTACGTATTCTTCAATGAATCCAACTCAGATGGAGTGAATATGAGTTTTACAAGAGTTCCTACCTCCTCTAGATAACCAAGTGCTTGGATAATAAGAATCCTGGTAAGTAATCTCAGCGACCCAGTCGATAGGCCAAATCAAGCTGAAAAACAATTAGATGGGTCTTTTAGCATCCCAAATAACAGTACACATAATGGTGACCAACTCTCAAACGAGCATTTCCATGAATCCCTACTGGACATCAAAAAAATATTACAACAGAAGGGTCCCTTGGATATTGATTCAAAAATGAAAAGGTTGAGAATGAATTCAGTGATTATTCAACCAAGCATTCAGTCAACTAGGGTAGAAAAGTTCATGTAAATGAAGCTTAGTATGTTACGAAAACAGTGACATCTACGACCTACTGAGACACATAGGTTAGAAAAGACTACTGGATTAATTGGTATCTACTAAATTGATAGAAGCTCAAAAATTCATTCCAACAGGCTTGCAAAATGATGAAGAGCGACGGTAACTCAAATGTAGATTAATGAAAAGTTTACGTAATGACAGTGAACAGTAGTAGGTGACGAAAGAAAAATACATCCAAAAGGCAATGGCAATATGTTACACCCGACAAATGTTTAAACTCATCAATGAAACTGGTATTGAGAAGTCAGATATTAGTTAGACCATTTCGGTGGAAGATAGAGCAATTAACCATTTTAAATCCAAGGGATTTAGAAGATCGATAGGACACTAAGGAATAGCTGAACTATATGATACATGCTATCTTCAAACGACCTTAATGCAGCAAAATCTGATAGACTGACTCTACGTATCTTTGAGAATCTCAGTCCAGTTTTAGTAGTGTAGCTAGAGCTTGAAAGAATTTCGGCCAATAAGTCCCAGGATCGAACTCTCCTCCACCTACTTCCGTTTAGACAACCGCGTGATGTCAACAGCTCTTACACAGTGTGGCTTATACTCAAATATTGGTGAATGAGTTAACTAAATTTAAAGAGAGTTTGTGAACCGTACTTAACCCCACTTGATCACTCTTAATCTATGACAGTTCTAGTTCATAAGAAAGCATTACGATTCACTGATAACAAAGATAGAGGAAATCCATTTAACTAATATAGTACCTAAATTTCATCCTCTATAATCATCTTATGCTTGGAAAAATCAATCTGCTTTCTGCTCTGGCCGTGGATATATTGATCAAATATTCAACCTTCCTCAGCTTTTAGAATACAAGGATACTTACCGGCTTCCAACTACAACTGTACTTTTGACCCTAAGACGGAATTTGAATTCGTTAACTAAGAGGTTTTGTGACAGTGTGGTCATTAAGAAGTGTACCAAAGAAGTATATCAATCTTGTGAAAGCCCTGTACTCAAACACTATTGGTTAAAATGAACCCTATAGAGAGAATCGATAATATAAAGTGACATTCTTCAGGACTGTCCTCTGTCTCTCTTAATTTGATTCCATCAAAAATATTCTCATAGAAGTAATACTTTCTTCACATAACTCTCAGGAGCTTGATTTCTGACAGGAGGTTTAATTATCGTAATGAAGTACGCAGATAATATAGTCCTATTTGGTGAAGTCACTGACCCAGTGTAGCTACCTGAACATCTTGAATAACAGTATAGCCATATTTGGGATTTTTTTCTCTCCCTGTGGTATGTTGACCACTTCACTTATCTTGGAAGTATCTTCATCACTAATCCGTTGGTGGCTGATAAAATGTCAGCACAGATCCAGAATGCCTAGTTAACGTTTGCCAGGTTGAATCGCTTGCAGTGCAGGTGAGATGCGCTTTACTCGACTAAAAGACGGGCACAGTGTCGGTCGATCTTACACTATAGCTGTAGGTTATCGTCTGTGAAAGTAAAGAACATGTTTAGATTCAAGGTTTCCGATCATAAATGTCTTCGAAACATTGCTCAAGTCGCGTGGGATGACTGAGTGAGCAACATGGAGGTTAGGGAGGGGTACTAAGCAAAGATGGTAAACTGATTAGTTAGGGTGTGTTACGTATGGCTAACCACCAACTACCTCGATGTGTAAAGTTTGCTGGTTTAGTAGACTAGAAAATAGCTATGGGCGGCCAAACCAACGCATAGCATCAATCCACAAAGTCACTAAGTTTTGGATTGAACCATGTTCGTAGATGCAGACTACCTGATTGAGGTCCGTGCAATAGCACCAATTAGTGGATGGAGAGGTTTGATGGCATGGCTCATAATCAGCTACTTTAGTGAAGATGCATTCACGCTTTATCCTCCTCTATATCATCAGTTGCACTACTGATTCATACCTTTTCATTCCCTCTTCCCAAACCACATTGACAACATCTAGACTTCCTTTATACCGTTAATACAACATTGTTTCTAACTCTTTTTTATTAACTCGTGGATTTCCTCTCGTTATACTTACATGTTGTAGCAACTTCGGCTAACACATTCTACAAGGCTCTATGTTGCTTATAATGCACTGTGATTAAGGGAGGTAAAAAGAATAGTTATATTTTTGGAAAATAAACAACTTCAGTTGTCTGTCTTCATAACATATGTTTGTGTTGTGCTAGGTATGAACTGACAAAAGATTTTCTCTTCACTACAATTAAATTACCTAGACTTTTTCTGTCCTCAAGTGCAGATTGATTTGTAGTCACTAAAATATAATTTGAACAGAAGCTCGGATTACTGTTTCATTACCAAATCAATAATTTAAGACAGTTATTTCAATTAAGCATAGACGAAGGGACCAATCATTCGTCGTTTCGTAACCCATATTTTCATCTTTATCTCAATTTTGTTATCTATAAGAATTTTCAATACAAATGTCAAGATAGTTCTACTGTATGAGGAGGAAACTTGGAGGACTACGAAAGCCATCATTCAGAAGATACAGATGTTTATTAACAGTTGTCTACGCAAGATACTTCGGATCCGTTGGCCAGGTATTATCAGCAACAACCTACTCTTGGAGAGAACAAAACAGACTCCAGCGAAGGAAGAAATCAGGAAGAAGCGCTGAAAGTGGATGGGACACACACTGAGGAAAGCACCCAACTGCGTCACAAGGCAAGCCCTCACATGGAATCCTGAAGGTCAAAGAAGAAGAGGGAGACCATGGAACACATTACGCGGAGAAATGGAAACAGATATGGGAAGAATGAACAACTGAATAGAACTAGAAAGAAAGGCCCAGAACAGAGTGGTTTGGAGAATGCTGGTCGGTAGCCGACGCTACATTGGGAGTAACAAGCGTAAGCAAGTATTAGTCGGCCATTTCATCTTAGTATAGAACTTTAGCGGACTGATATCTGACTCCAATTAGTTCATATTGACAATTGCTATAGAAATATACATACCGCCGATCCTCTTATACAATTATCGACTTCACTCGGGTTATCACATAAGTCAAATACGAGAAAGGATTATGAATTCGTATATTTCATTCAATCGTTGATCCTGACAGACGATCAGAAAAAACGAGGCAAAGAAAGAGAAGCGAGACAAAATGACGCGAAGCGGAGAAAGCATGTGAGTCAACTCGATTTAACGAAGCATGACTCAATATTTATAGTCAAACAAAGATACGTTACAGGCACAATAAATAGGGTAAGTAATTAGCACGTACGATTATATAGTGAACACTCAGCGTTAATAAGCGAATAAGTGACAGGGTAAAAATGTGGCCTGAGAATAAATAGGCTGGTCAGTCGAGAAGCCAGAATAACCTATGTGAGCTTGACACAGTACCAGCCCTTACTACAGACTCCTCGGCAATGTGCATTCACGACTATCCACGTGGTAAC